CGCTTTTCTGGACACTCCACCCAAAGTGCTTTAGAGGTAACAACGACTCCTCTCCACCACCACCGATGTGTAGCCCCATCTGGATGATGTGATGGCAATCGAAGCCAGTTCATAGACGGAGATTATTGGGAGGGCATGATTTGTAAAGGTCAGGGGGAAACTTGGCCAGGACACTGGGGTAACACCGCTACTCTTTTTGAAGAAACTCCCTTGGATTTTTAATGACCACAGAGAGTCAGGACCTTGGTTTTACATCTCATCCGAAGGATGGCGCGTATTTACAGTATAATGTGCCTGTCATTAGGACCCACACAGACCGCCAGGTGACCACCCCCTACTGGTCTCACTAACACCTCTTCCAGCAGCAACCTTAGCTTTCCCATGAGGTCTCTCATCCAGGTACTGGCCAGGCTGAAACCTGCTGAGCTTCACTGGGCTGCCAGTTGTGAGTTGCAGGGTGATATAGCAGCTGGCAAAATAAACATGACTTCTTAATAATGTAAACTGAATTTTATAATTATATTGCATTTAACTTCCATTTGCATTGCAGGATAGCAGTGAGCAATGCCACTGGTTCACAATTTTACTGGGAAAAAACTATGAGATGCATTTTTCCTGGGAGTAACTCCTGCGAGTTGCATGAGAGTATGCTCAGTGTACTTTTGGGCTCTGGTATGGGCCTCAGCAACGCTAGTCAGGCTCCTTTGGGACATCATTGCTCTTCCTTTCTTTCTGTTATCTAAGAGAGAAGCATGGCAGTTGAGGACCTGCTCACAAGCAGCACTGTTGAAGACGCAGCAGAATTACAAGTCCTATTGGCAACTCTCACTGGAAACCTAGTACAGGTCATCTCCCAAGCCAGCCTTTTAGAGAAGTGTTTTAAAGTGAACAAAAATGTTTTAAAAAGTGAATATTATAAACCAGACTTCCCTAAAGAATTAAACATACAGCAGGTGAAGCCTGTCAAGACTAGAGGTCTGAAAGTTGTGCCTAAAAAGCACTTAATCTGTAACAGGTGGCCTTTAAAAATGTTATCTTAATCACCTGCAGGAAAAAAAAATAAGTGCATGTTTTTGGGATCAAAGGGCTTCTCCGCTTGCTTTCAGGAGGGCTTGGGAAAGAGCCAGATTCTGTGCATTACAGGCCGTTCCAGCTAATAGTATCAAAGTAATACCTGTCGCCTTCTTCCTACTGTATTCACAGGGCTCAAAGCTTTAATTATATCCTCCGCCTGAAAGATAAAAAAACGATTTTCCCAAGCACAGCAACTGGCAGACTGACAAAGATCCCCTTCAACCAAATAAAGGTAGTCACCTGTTAGAAATGAGCACATTCAAATTCACACACCGCACAATACAATATAGACTTCTATGCACAATCAGTTTCTTGTCTTCACTGGAAACAAGAGCTTATTATTTTTTTCAACACCAATCATCAATCATCGAATAAAATGTTCTTGTGATTTAAAACACATCTGGATCTGACAATATTTTGGTGAGATTCAACTCACTGACAAGTAGCTAATGTACAGTATGTATCGGTTCTATTAAGACTCAGCAAAACTCCTGTGTTTGTAGTATTTTTGTAGTAAGGAGTGATGAAATGATTACAGTAAAATCAGCAGAACATGTACTTACAGTATAACACATTACAGAGGGAAGTTACAATATGAACTAAGAGTTTAAGTTTTAATTTTAAAGGACATACAGAAAGGAAGTTGTTACTTTGATAAAATCTAAAAGAAAAACTTTTCAATTTGTTCTAACAGTCACCCAGATCACAGCACTCTTCAAGAATTAACTTTATTGGGTGTTTTAAGGTGTGATACACACTTGTAAAATGAAACCCATCTAAAAAGATTAATACACAGTAACACATAAAAATGTCCCAGGAATAAGAAAGTAAAAACTTGGGACCCTCTCTTTAGTTCGATCCGAATTGGGATGTAAATCACATTTGCAGCTTTAAAATTCCAGTGCCCGGACAGATTTTTTTATTAATTCTTGAGACAACTCAGTTTACATCCAGACATTCAGTATAAAAGCAAACTTAAGCATTCCAAACTAACCAAAACCATTTCCAGGTTGCCCACTTTAGGGTTTAAGTTACTGTACTTATGTTTTGTAAAATTAACGTTTTTTTTAAAATAAACCCATATTTTGCTTTCTCTTGAAACCACAACCATTTCATACCAACCCCAGATACCTCCAGGATTAAAGCTGGCATCCTAAGTGTTTGCTGGCAAGGAAACCTGAAATCCTTGTACCATTAACAGTGTGTTATTAAAGTCCTCTCAAAATTGACATTGGCAGTCAGTTTCTTATTCTATTACAAATCAGATGGAGTGAAGTAAAAATGTAAAGACAAAGACTATATATTTGACCACAGAAGAGGGGAAAAGTCCTGTCCAGTCATACCTTCACTAACTATCCCTCATGGGGGTGATCATGTTGAATGAACACCAAAGAGACTGAGAAGGCCGATACAGGATCTGCACACACTCTGGTGAGTGACCTCTGACAACACATCAGATCTTCCACTGCACAGCAGGGTCACGGTGAGCTCTGCTCACACTCTCACTCTTCATCCGTGTTCTGACGTCTTTGAGTGTTGAGCTTCTCCCCAGATATTTCTGCTCCATTTGGCTCAGTTGAGGGTGATAATCTTCCATAGGAGACAGCCATGTAGCATTTCATCTTGTTCGCTTTTACCACACAGTTAAAACTCTTCTTCTGGCCTCCTCTGGAAACATAGGCATCCAATCTGCATTAACCAGTGCCTAGAACCTGGAGATAATGGTTGATCGTATCATCAGCCTGCTTCACAGAGAACATTAATGCTGATGCATCTGTCCTCCCACTTGATATGTAAACTTTCCCAGACATCGTTGCTGACATGACTCCGGTCCTTTTCAGTGTCCCCTGTGTATTCTTCAGGTTTCAGCCCCATACAACAATATAGGGATTATGGTAGATTATCAGTTTGGTTTCAGTTTTGATTTGGTTTCACGATCCTCAAACACCTTCTTCCTTAAGAAGCCAGTGCTTGCAGATTTCAGACACCGCTGGATTTCTTTGTAATTATCGGCCTTCTGTGAACGTTAAGTCCCAGGAGGAGGAAAGTCCTCTACATTCTTCAGACTGTAATTCAGAATCCACACCAATGGTGCTGGGACATGTGCACTTTGAAATCCTAATGACTTGGTCCTGAATAATGATGATCCCATAGCAAGTTGGTTTTAACTCTGGTGTCCTCCATTCCATGTCAGGTATGCTCAGTCTGGACTGCACTTCTACCTACCTAGTTTCTCCTTTAATTCGATTGCCGTAAGGTAAATTCTTGCTTCTGATCTGCTGTGTTTTGGGGTCGGTGATGGAAAAAGGGCAGTGGTTCCTCTCCAGCATGCAATGGGGTAGCAATTGTTATTACTGTGAGTTTAGAAGTTCAGAGGTTAAGAAAACTGATAAAAAACAATGATTTTATAGAAAATTACAATACTGTATGTTTACACATGTGCTAGATCAGATCATATCTAAAACACTGTGGTGCACGAAATGTTAAATGCCAGTGAAGGCTTTATGTCAGGAGGTGTTAAGCTGAAGCACTGTGCTTTCTGATTTACTGCCAGTCTTATATGAAACTGGGTTGGGCCATTCTGAAAGCCTCATCTCACTGGATGCCAGGCCAAGCCCAACCGACCGTTACAGAGAGTGACATGTGGCTTATCAGGGGAAGGAAACAGACATTACAGGCAGCTCACCCACTTGGCATGAATCTCCTTTAATAAATTAATGTTCATCTACTGACGAGCCCGAGCCAGCGTATCTCATCTCATTTTCAGCTAAATTCCCCAACCTGAACCAAACAGACAAGAAACTAGAAACTGCCAAACATAAAATGCAACAAACAAAAACAGATTCTCTTTTCCCCTTTTTTTCCCCTCTCTAGATTGCTTTAGGAAATGTTGGTACTTTCAAGGTAGATAATACTCTTTTTATTAGTCTGCAATTGCCTTCAGGTTTAAGTAAGTTTTTTTGTGACTGGTTCTGCTTACACAAAAGATAAAACCACAGGAAAAAAAAGTCAGAAGCTGAATTTTAACAAAGCTCAACCACAGGTAACTGACTTTTATTAACGGTTAGATAACTCAACTGTCAGAAAACTGGGAAGTTCAGACGATCCGCCAGGTGCCAGAAGAAAAGCACAGTACAAACAAACGCTCTTCATATTTGCATTTTAAATTAGGTGTTTTCAGAAAAGGTGAATACACTGACTCAGTCTGAACAATTTACCGTTCAAAGCGAAAATGTCTTGCTGAAAAATTTACTGCACAGTTAGTCACAGTTATTTCTGTGCACAGTTCCAGACTTTCTAAAAAAGAAACAGCATTACTGCATTTGGGCTTGAGGAAAAACAAACAGTACAGAACTAAAAGCTGAGGGAAAAAAGTAGTCTATATACTGTATACTGTACTCCTCTTAAATGACCCTCCACACAGTATATAGTACATGAGCTAAATGAACAATATTAAACACAAAAGTACCATGTAAAATACAGTGAATTAGTACTTCACATTCAGACTCACAAAGCACGTGCTGTTTTCCATTTCTATGTTATCATTAAAGAACATGCACATATGATCACATTTCAATCCATAACTGCCAATCAAGGCTCAAAAAAAGCTCCACATTTTAACCCTTTAAGTGGCGATATTATCCAATACAGATATTAGGTGGACATCAGGGAATGTAGGCCTTGATCGCCTTGCTCATAGGGAAAGCTAAAGGTTGAATTTTTGCATCAACTCACCTCAAATGTTGCGGGCATAAAAGAGACTTTAGGAAGTGCTAACTGTGTTACAAATCATTTCTCAAATTAAACGCTTATAATTTACAAATAAATGGAACCTGGGCAACTGACAAAATCTGCCAGATAACCTGCAGGTGAACATGGACAGAAGAAAACTGCAAAGCTTGACACATGACAGGATGAAATCTTACCTTCTTCGAAACATTTCAGCAAATATGCAACCAACACTCCAGAGGTCTACTGGTGTTGCATAACTGGACTGAAGTAACACCTCTGGGGCTCGGTACCATAATGTGACCACCTGTAAAGACAGAAAGGCTCAGTACAACTGGGAGAAGGCATCATTCAGTACATGCAGCATCTTTGCAGTTATCACTGTTTTGAGTGTCTCATGAAAACAGGGCATCATACATGATGTAATGTCCGGCCAATGGATGGAATTAGGACTGTGTTTTTGGTGCAACATTATGAAATCACATTAAATATGAAGGAGGGGGCCTGAAGCTGACTGACTGACTGAAGGAACACAATGGAAACTGCCAAACATGAATCCATGCTTTCCGGACGACTAATAATAATTCCTTGCATTTGTAGAGCGTTTTTCATCTTAAAGGATTCCGAAGCTTCACGCACAGGAGATCCATATCCATCCACCACTGAAGTGCAACCCGCCTGGCACAGTAGAACAGGTGGAGGAGGGGAAAATGTTTTGCTGTTTGAATTAACGGAAACATATTAGGAAGGCCAAAAGCTGAATTTAGCCAGGATGCTGCAGTTAACGTGCAGTGCCATGGGAATTCAGTGATCAAGTGGCTGGCACCTCAGTTTAGCATTCACCTGAAGGATGGCACCTCCTACAGCACAGTGTGCCCTGTCACCATACTAGGGCATTGGCCTTTTAGGAAATTCTGGTCCGGTGAAAACTGGTTTACCCACCCCAGTTCTGATCAGGCCCAGCCTCGCTTAGCTTCTGGGATCTGACAAGACCAGGCTACAAAGTGGTCATGTAATTCTTTCTAAAGAAAGGATGGATATATCTCTAGAAAGGAAGTCAAGACCTTGGTTTAAAGTCTCATCTAAAGGTCCAACGATTCTGTTATGCCATTAGTTTTGTTTTCATGAGGAATCCATAAAACATGGACAATGGACAGACAAGTTATGCCAATATCTGCAAAACTGAAGAAATTGTCTCTGAAGAAATGAACAGACATTCACAAGAGCCTATTTACCAATGTATTACCCACTTGACATGTGTCCTGGCTAACACAGAGAGAAGTCTGACCATTGAGAGTAATCTAATCAGGGAAAAAGTTGACTCTGAGGCTGTATGTGGGAAAGTGACGCTACTGATATTCTCAATAAAGTTACTAAAGAATATTGTTTGTTTAAAGTGGGAAAGAGATCCATAGTTAATAAATGTAAAAGGTTCACTTCTTTTTGAAGAAAATGTGGTTTGTCAGCAAGGAAAATGGCCTATTTACTATTACTCCTTCAGTGCTTTACTCTTTGACCTGTTGTACTTCAGGGATATTTTTTATTCTCAAAACTTAAATAAGGCTTTGGAGACGTCTGTTCCATTTTTTTTTACTTTCACTGTTCAATCCCCAAAACAAACTGTCCAAGAGAAACATGTCAGCTTGGTAATAAACTGATGATTTTTCATTAGGGACCAATAATGAGAGCAATGACTCAAGGGGCAGAATGTACTCACTGGATAATTATAGTCTGCCCTGTTACTGCTTGACTGTTCATAACAGTATTAAGGCTGAAAGCGGAATGGCAAAATCACAACAGATGAATGTTTTTAAACACTGCTGAGTTATATAACGTATGAAATCATCTCTGGCAGAGCAGGCCTCTGTGCTTGTTTTGGGAATGCAGAGATCACACACACATTTTCTGTTGCAAACTATCAGGGAGATTTCCTGCAGTCCCAGTTTGACCAGATCGATCTGCTTTCCCTCCTCCCGTCACACCGCCCAAGAAAGGCAGTTTTTTAATACAGCAGTTTATTTCTATTTTCAATCTGAAGATCGGATCAGCTCCTGTTTACACGGTGAACGTCTCCACACAACTAGGGTCTTTAAGAACAGCAAAACAGCTGTGAAGCCTGTTGAAGTACAGGACGCAGCTGGGAGCAGTGGCCAGCTGCAGAAAAGTGCAACAACCCAGCATATCAGAGCTTTTGTGAAGAAAAAAAGTCCAGACCAGAGAGACAGTAGCTTGCTGGGCCAGAGCTCATCCTGGTTTCTGTGGTGTGACGCAGATGAGAGAGCACACAACTTCCTCTCTGGAGGGGATACTCGTTCGTTCATTCATCACATGGAACACTGCTGGTTCCCACTTACACAGCTGGGTGGACTGGAGCAACTGGGGTGTAATACAACAGCAGGGCCTGCAGCAGGGACTCGAACCCACAACTGGTTAGAAATTACTCCAAAGACAGGCTCACTTCATAACACTGCCCCACACCATTTATACTTTTCAGAATATTTTTTCCCATAAACCCTCAGTTGTGCTTTAACCTTTATTGTATTTTGAAATGAAGAGCCTTGTGTTACGTGCACCATGGAGTTATTTGATCCTGATTTGGTCTGATTTAGCTTAGTTTAAAAGTCAGTGTTCAGAAAAAAGTGCTACATGAGATTTGTTAACAGTGGAATGCATGCATGTAACACTGTTTTCCGGAAACATGCCAGGTTTATAACAAAAGCAACAGAATCATCTTTTGAAAATTAATCGGAAAACCAAAAATGCACAGCTGAGACTGAGAAAGTATTTTCATTTCACTGCATCACATCATTACATCACGGTACAATTTGTTTTGAAAGGATACTGCCATTTTTGCCCTTTCATCCTTTGTTTGGAAGGTTTTTCCCGGTGTCTGGTTAAACCCTCAGAGGGGCTCTTAAGCACATGAAATCTGGTAAAAAGGAAAGGACAAGCGCAAATCAGCCAGCCTCTCAGGTTGGAGATACAGAAGCAACCCAAAAGGGAGAACGAGGAAGTGAAGGCAGACTCCTCTGACCTGCCCAGCTTCGAGCCACTCGTCTCTTAACACATCACAGGCTCCACAGCCCCGGACTGGAGGTTCAGCACTGATTGGAGGAGAGGGTACGCAGCCATTGCCGTGTCCGTTGGGAGCCAGAGAGTCCTGGCACACGGCTCCTACCCTACCCTCTGTAACTCACTTAGCACCGCCTCCTGGGGAATCCCATCAGCTACAAGACCTTCTTTCAACTTCTGCGTTTTCAAGCACACAGCTGTCTCGATCCCCTCAGCCCTTTTGCCCCTCCAGCATACAACATGTCCACAGGAGGGCGCCCTGCCCTGGTTGAGAACCACATGCACAGAAGGACCTAGCCTGCACTGGATTTTATATTTGCGCTATACATGAATGTGCAGACCTATAGATCATAACATATTTATGCTTGCATGCTGGTTTCCTTCATTTATTTCCTTCCTCCATTTACTGAACAGAATGTCTTGTCCCAGGCTTATCTGTTAAACGATTTATTAATATTCTAATGTTAATACTGTCACACCAGACACACGTTAATACAAGGGTTAGTGTCACTTCTGCTCTGGTGGAGACTGCCATGGGGAACCAAAATGAAATTCATTCAGACAATGCAAAATCATAATGTATTATGTTCTAAATACAATATTTAACACGATATGAAAACTCCATGTGGAGAAAAGCACAAAAGCAATAATATCTCTTTTCCAAAGAATGGTCACAACTGCTTTAATGCTGGAATTTACTTTGTGTACAGGAAAACTGCATTGTTACCTTATTATTGTAGGGAAAACGTCCAGACCGAACTCAATGACCCTATGAAGCAAAATGGACAGACTCCAAGTACTGTAGTTGCCTGATGGAATTTGGAACTTATCTTGCTTTTCCTGAAGCTCTCTGATGAAACAGCTCAAACATGAATTTGGGTTTAAGATGTGTCTAGAGACCAAACAGAGTTACTTCTGTTCATTTTTTTTAACTCATGCAAAACATTTTCTTGTTTGCTTACTAATAATTTGTTTTCCCTTTCTGTTAGACTCAACGATAATTCTCTCATAAAACGAAACATCATATTGTGAAGTCTGTTGGAAAATCAACCTCCTGTGTCATTAAAGGTTTGCTTTCTTTGGCCAGCTCAATACCTTTAATTGGCTCATGGAAATACATGCCAGAGATATAAGACTAGTTACAAAGTCTGAGTTACAAAGCCCAGCCCTGTTTGAAAACAGAGACAATATACAGTACCTGCCTCCATAGCATCCCTGTTTTTCAGTGCCACTACATCTTAGAGGTAAAATGTCAGCACTGTCCTAGTTTTGAATGACATACTAGCAATAAGCCAATACATATTACATTTTTTCATTAATAACTTATACATTTTGTGCATATTTCATTAATAATGCACATATTATCCACGGACTAGCTCTTCACAATCTGTATTTCAGTAATAAAATGTAATAAAATAGTAAAACATGGCTTACAGATTACCTTTTTTTTATATATCTGGGTCACTCATATTATTTTTGTGCACAGTAATGCGCTGTTTTACATGTAACAAGATGATATTCAGGAGCACAAGCAACTTTCCTGGAACTGCCTTCTTGAGAGCCACATGCAAGGACCTGCATTTCATATGAAGTCACACAGTGATGTTAATACACCACCACAAATAAGAAGGTTAACAGCATTGTGGTACAAATGCCTATTTTGCACCAGCCAAACCCAAGTAAAAAACTGAATGTAATTCACAATCCACCTGCAACTTTGTCTTCAATTGTTTTACTGGATATTATGCCTCTTTTGCTTTTACATTTACACTACCAGAATGTTAACATATGAATTACAGTTAACATCTATTATATCATTAAACAACACACACAAATCAAACTGAAATAAACAACAGATTTTAAGTCCAAAAATATGGTTACTTGCTTCTTATTTAGAAACCTCCTAATTAGTCATGGTTAATTCCAGAAACTCTATTTTCTAATTGATCATATTTATCAAAAGAATGTATGCAAATATTACTAGAGCTGATGGGTAATTGTACAGAAGGTACATATAAAACTTGCTTGAATTATTCTGAATCATAACTGTAAATAACACTGTAACTTAAAATTCAAAAGAGAAAAAATCTAAAAGATATCTCAGATAAGACTGCAGTCACACTGCCAGTCTGGGTAGGGATTCTCAAGAAAAACGTTCACGCTAATCTAGTCTAAAAAGCGGTCATTTTTATTTTTAGAACTTCATTATTACACTTGCTAAGTTAACACTCGGTA